ACAATTGTCTCGGGTATGGAATTGTTCAAGTCATTGTCATGTATAATAGCATCTGAAGCATCTAGTTCTCTCCCATCATGAACATTGTTATTAGGTCTATGCTCTCCAGCTTCCTCCAATGCCTTCTTTCATTTTTTGTTTTGTAATTTTTTGCAGCATTAAGCTCTATCCTTTCTAGCCTTTGCTTCTCATAACTTGACATTTTCAATTTTAAAACATCCGAACTTTGCAAATTTAGATGTCCAGTGGCTCCAAGCATATCAAGTTTCTTTTTCTTTGTTCCCATTGTTGATCTATTCAAGAAAATTAAGAAAATAATATTTTGTTTTTAAGGACGCTCAAACAATAGAACTAATTATATGTTTTTTAAATCTATGTTGTGTCTCCATTTTACACCCTATATGAAATTCTTCCATAACAAGCATTCCATAGCAGAATATGGCAGTAGTCAGGTTATATACTGAACCTAGAAACTAAGGCAAACAAGCAGTTCATAGAATGTAGACAATGGTGAACATTAAGTATGGAACACTAGCAAGTGAATGTGTTGCTTCCATACTATTATAAAATTGAAAAAATTAATTTAATTGTTTGTTCCAAACAAAAAAAAAGTGTACTCCCCATTCAGTCCAATTCATTTGTGGTTTGGTTGAAGGTTGTGCTGGTTTTCTTCCTAATAACATCTACATCTTCAGATAGAAATCTGGAAACACAAATTTATAATACTCAACAAGACAACAAATTCAACAAAAACCAAGAGAACTTGCTTCATACCCCAACATTTGATTTTGGAAACCAAATATTATAAACGAATCAAAACACATAGAGCTTGGTGTCTTCGATTGGTAAAAAACATGATGGTGCTTCAATTGGTAAAAAACAGAGAAGAGACGGCGATTCTGACCTGTGATAGAGCTAATCGAACACTTATGTGGTCGGAGAAGAGACGGCGAGAATTATAGTTTGCGAGAATTGTAGACGGCGATTCTCAGAACCCTAACTCAATTTTCCTTTTTTGACGGCGAGAATTGTAGACGGCTAGAATGCCAAAATCTTCTCAGAACCCTTCTATTTTCTTTTTTAATTTGGAAAATTTTCTTGTAAAATGGGGAGAATAGTACGGAGTATGTTTTAATGGTTTGCCCCCCTTTTTTCTATGCATCGGCGCCAATAAATTTTAGTTTCCCGCTAGTATATTTGTGGCCACTTTTCACACTTAAGCAACAACTACTTTGATGTTGCCTTATATTCTATTTGGCAACAGTTTTTGTGTTGTTACTACAAAAACACTTACAAATAATTAAAACTTAAAAGCATCATGTGTAAATTGTTGCCAAAGATAGTCATTGACAACATCTTTAATATTGTCGCAATTTTGTATGTTGCCTATGCCCATTTAATTTGTAGTGCGGCTCGACAAGGCGACTTTTCATCAAGCAAATCTCGTCCTATTCTCGAAGTACGCCCCACTGCTCCTCCTAGCTCTCCCGTACAGGATGTTGTTGACCAGAGCTTGTACGGTTCTTTTGGGCTGAGGTGTAGAGAGTTGTGTCAGTGGCTGACATGCACATCTGCTTTGCCTACCATCAGCGTCATTCTCAATCCTGAGTGCATGCTCTATCCGGAGGAGACGAAGCTGAGGATGCGTCCGGAGAATATACGTGAGTTCATGCGATGAGAGGAGGTCGATCAGATAATCATCATTGTTTTCTTGAGGTATGCCAAGCACTATGTACAAATAAAGTGCAATCATGTTCTAATTATTCAAGAGTTTATGCAAAGTATGTTATAATTATTTTTCACAATTATAATTATTATTTACCTGTGAAATAACTAAATTGTTGCACGATCATATGATGGAGCACGACATCACGATTGTCGGGTTGTTATGTCCGGAGAACATGGCGTACATGGTAGATTATGGAGATCGCCAGTATCTGGATAGAGCACTCGAGTCCTATCAATCACAACCCTGGATACTTATGTCGTTATATCTCTCGATCGTATACATTCTAAACCATTTCCAATATGTATTCCGGTTTTTATATTGATTATGAAACTAATGGCTAACGCTTTTTCAATTGTCGGCATCGTTGGGTGTTAGTTGTAATACGTTTATTTGAAAACAAAGTGTATTTCTTTAACTCACTCAAGGCGACCGGAGAACATAAGCAAAGGAAAGTGAAGACTTTCGACAATGAGTAAGTATTAAGAAATTTATTTCTTAATAATGAAATTCTTTATTTGTTAAGAAATTTATTTCTTATTGATTTGTTGTTTACATGTATTAAAGGTCTTTGCGGTTACTTCGACAATGGAACATGCCTCAGCTTAAGGCTCGACCAGATTGGATTGATGTTTCCGGAGTACCCCAACAACCAGGGGGTAGAGTGTGGATATTATACTATGCGATTTTTATGGCTCATTGCCACTTTGTGTGCTTAGTGTTCTTTATCGTTATATGATGTAAGTTTATTTTAGTACGTTTTTGAAACTAATAAAGTGTTCATCATCATTTTTTTCATATATTATTAAACTTTATGTTGTATGTTGTTTTCATATTGCAGGTGTTTCAATCTACTTCGCCTTATACCGTAGCCAAATTAGACGAGGTTAGAGAGTTTTAGGCAGGGGTTTTCTTGATGAACTAGTATAAGTTTTGTGTTGCATTGTGTAGTATTGGTTGTATGACTTTTAGAGCACTGGAAATACATATGAAGCCCCGAGGCTTCAAACTCTCTCTCTGCCACGTCAGCTTTAACTTACACCAAAAATTCACTGGAAATGGGTTTGAAGCCCCGGGGCTTCAAATTGAGGCTTCAAACCTTCCTTTTTTTACATTTTTAAATATACATCTTCTTAATTTTAAATTAATAAATTTTAATAAATAAAGAAATTACTAATTATTCGAGCGACTAAAAATATCTTCATTCAAATCCGAGTTGTAGTAACATATTGCAAATTGACATAACTCATAAAATAAAAAATACAGTCAATAAAAAAAAGTATGTTATTTAAAAAACCAAAAAAAATTACATTACTAAAAAAAATTTAAACAAAAAAAATATTACGGAGTACATTAAACAAAAAAATATAGAGTAAAAAAAATTATGTTTGTATATGTTTTTTTGAAAAAGAGAGAATGTAAGGTTTGAAGCCCGTTAAATATTTGAAGCACAAGGGATGAAGCCCTTATGAAGCCCCAAGGGGGCAGTGTTTGCTGCCCCTTTGGCGTTAAAAGGAGCAATAACGCCCCAGGCGTGATGCCCATTACCAGTGCCCTTAGAAGAGTAGTTTATTTGTTGTATGACTCTTAGTTGTGGTGTTATAATTTAACCTTTAAATGTTGATATTTTTTAGATAAACAAGTTATCGATGCAAATGTTTACTTTTTTGGTTTAATTTATTTTGTTTAATTTGAATTTGTGAGTATAATTATGTTCCCGGGTTTTGTTTGTAGTTTTTGTTGTGTTGTTGTTGGTTCTGTAAATTTTGCACATAATTCTTTGAACTTTGTGCAAAATTGCAGTCATGGTGGATTTTAAGCAAACAAACTGCTCTGTAAAAAAATTATCATTTGCATCGGTTTTTAGCTCACAACTGATGCAAAAGACCCTTCCCCAGAAATGGGAATGGGCATTTGAATCGGTTATTAGCAAATAACCGATTCAAATGCTCCTTCCTATTTCTGAGAGTGAGCATTTGAATTAGTTATTTGCTAACTTCCGATTCAAATGCTCCTTCCCATAATTGGCGCCATCTCTGGGAAGGAGCATTTGAATCGGTTGTTTGCTAACAACCGATTCAAATGCTCCTTCCCAGGATTGGCGCCAATTCTTGGAAGGTCCACAAAAATAAATAAAAAATAAAAAAATGTTTTTGATATGAGAAGATCCACAAAAATGATATGCACTCAAGGTGCACCAAAGAAACATTCTACAAATAAATGTCCTCTCATATCATCTCTAACTCACTTTGGATTTTGTGATCAATTTTTTAGAGTTATGCTCACATGATCTTAAAATTCACATTTGAAATATATATTTTTCACACTTTGCATAAATCGAAAGATGATCTTTTTTTACAAAATCTCAAATTAGTTTTCATGTTTATATGCTAAGATCCATAAAATGAATATGAACTCAAAAATTACATATTAATCTGCCATGTTTATAAACTATAGCTACAAATTGCTTAAAATTTACCCTGTACTTGAGATATTGAATTGTGATATACTAGTAATTTATAAAACAATTTTATTTTATATTTGTATGTATATATACGTGTGTGTGTGTGTATATATATATATGTATGTATGTATGTATGTATGTATGTATGTATATGTATATGTATGTATGTATGTATGTATATATACAAAGAAAATATTAATAGTGAAAGTATTGTACTACTACCTCCGTCCCAGAGTATTTGTCCACTTTCATTTTTGCACACCATCCAATACACTTCTTTAGTCCATTTTATCTTGTAATTTGTATATTAAAAAAATATACTCTGTAGAAATTATATATTAATAATCTATATGTTAAGACAAATCAAACAAGATCACACATGACTATATTTAGGCTTACACATTGAGAGAATTTGATGAGTCAAAGTGCTCAGATGAACAGTTTCAAAAGTAAAAAATAGACGAATACTCCGAGACGGAGGGTGTACATCCATTTCTAGAGTATTCGTCTCGTGTAGCTTTTTCGAGCCAAACTTGACGAACTTTAAACCTTAATTAAGTAAAACTTATAATATACTATGGTATATTAGTACAAAAAGGATTTTAATACATTTAACTTGTTTAAAACTTTCAAAAATTTATATCATTATATTTATATGTAATATAAATTGAGAGTAATAGATGTATGACTCAAAAAAATTAAACTAAATAAATACTTTTGGAGTTGAGGTAGTATTAGAGATTTAGAGAAATGAAAAGTCAAAACTTAAAATTATTAAATGTATCGAGTGTAAGTATAAAACCAGGTCCGAACAGAAATATACATATACCGCCGAGTACTATATGATTGAGTTGTATTGATCCACATTTCGCAATATGTCCTCTACCGCCGACGAAACCGCCGTCAAACCGGTCCACGTGTCGCCATATTTCACCCTCTACAACGACGGCCGCGTTGCCAGGCACGGCGAACCCGAATGCGTTCAGGCTTGCGACGATCCCGACGCCGCAGTCCGCTCAAAGGACGTCGTTGTCCAGCCGGAAACCGGCGTCTCCGTCCGCCTCTTCCTCCCAAAACTCGACGGCACGGAAAAAAAGCTTCCCCTCGTAATCTACATCCACGGCGGCGCTTTCGTCATCAGCTCCACCAAGTGGGCGGCGTACCACAATTTCATCACCTCGATGGTGGAAAAGGCGAAGGTGGTCGCGGCGTCGGTGGAGTACAGGCTGGCGCCGGAGCACCCTCTCCCGATCGCCTACGACGATTCCTGGGTAGCCTTCCGATGGATCATGTCCCACGCCGAGGGACAGGGCCCGGATCCATGGCTGAACGCCCACGCAGATTTCGGGGAGATTTTCCTCGGCGGCGAGAGCGCCGGAGCGAACATCGCCCACGACGTGGCGATCAGGGCAGGGAGCAGCGAAGACTTCCGAGATCGGAAGATCTCGGGGCTGTTTCTAGTCCACCCGTTCTTCGGCGGGGAAGACGAGGACAAGCTGTACAGGTTCCTCTGCCCGGAATCCAGCGGCGGATACGACGACCCACGGCTGAATCCGGCGGCGGATCCGAGGCTGGCGCGGATGCCGTGCAAGAGGGTGCTGTTTCACATGGCCGGAGATGACTTCCTGCGGGCCAGGGCGAAGCTGTACTTTCAGGAATTGAAGAAGAGCGAGTGGAAAGGAGAAGCAGAGATTGTGGAGATTGAAGGAGAAGGACATGCTTTTCACCTCACAAATCCAAGCAATCCCAAGGCTGAAACTCTGATTCATGATTTGGTTGCCTTCTTCAATCAATCTTAAGCTGCTTTTTCTGCATCATATATGTTGTTGATGCTTCTTTATTGCCTTTCTTGTGAATAATTGCCTGTTTCTCTGAATCTTCTTAACCTGTAAAATTATTGGTATGTTTCAGCATCAGAGATGCTTTTCAGTTCACTCTGTGATTTGAAATCAACAAAATGGAAATGTGGTAAAAGTGTGTAGTGCTTCATCAAACCATTATCATATTGAGATCCCAACTTTCAATTTATGTGCATCTAGTATTCTGTCACCATAGATTCATCAACTCTAACCATAAAAAAGTGTCTCAAACCTTATACTCTCCAACTTATAGTTGGAGAGTATAAACTGGTATAAAAACTAAAAAAATACGAAGTATAAATTTCACCACTATTAAAAAGTAAATCAAAAGTGTGTTGTCTTTGGTGTGTGCAAGAACCTCATGCTTAACATAGTTATCCTTTTTCCTAATAGCCAAGATTTAAATCCGAGTTATTTATTACCTTCAATTCTTCACAAAGTTGAGATTCTTAGCTTTTTCATAATAGTCAAGATTTAAATTCGAGTAATTTACTGCTTTCTCAACCAAGCTGAGCTACACGCTACACCCGACTTCAGGCTTCAGATGGGCGGGTAAAGCAATTGCAATAAATTTTAAACGGATTATTTAAGGTGAAGAATTAAATTCATTCGACTCCCGCAGTCATAGGATAGTAGGTAGAATAGCAAAGGATACTTTCATTCAAGCCTCAAGAGCACTTCATTTTGAATTGCTGTTTTAAAAATGACACAAAGACCTTTCGACATTGTTCTTTAATGTTATAATATTACATAAGGCATCTACGGTGTATCGTTAGGCCCAACAATCCAACGGAATAGTGTAAATGCCTCAAAGGACTAGTGTCATAATATAAAATTGACACTATGTCAACAAATCCATAATACTTTAGGATATACGGAGTACTTATGTTATATGTCTATAGGCTTCAAAAAAAATGTTATATGTCTATAACCTAGAGAATAGATAAAAAGAATAGGAAGAGGGACAACTAAAAATGGCTGGTGTTGAAAGAAAAGCCACACATGCATGGGGACATCTTCAACATGAGCATCAAATTATATTTGATTTAAAAAAAGAGGTTAAGGTCAACGGCTAAAGTTTTGAGTTATCCCATGACAAGCGTGCGTAGGCTCATACAAAAATGTGAAATTTGAGCAAAGTCAAACGCAATTAAATCACACCTCACTACCTCACCCTCCCCAATCTGCCCAATTAAATTCATAGACTATAAGGGGTGCATGGTTGTTCCAAAGATAACTAGAAATGAAACATGGGAGTAGATTATTACAATATAACTGATCTTATTTTTATCATCTAATTAAATACACCCTCCGTTTGCAAAAAGACTTCCTATTTTGATTTGGGGACAAAAATAAGAAAGTGTTAAATTATAGTTGATTTCCAATTTTGCCCCTGATATGATGGGTAAAAGTAAGATGTGATTGATAGATTATTAGAGAAAAAATATGATGTGATAGTTAGGGTATGAAAAAGTAAGGGCAAAAGTGGTTTTTTAATAGAAAGGGGAAATGTTTTTTTTTGAAGTGGAAAAATGAAAGAGAAAGTGTTTTTGAGAACAGAGGGAGTAGGAGTTTTACAATCTGAATGGTGACAATATAGCAGTGTCGTGACATTATAACAATATGGTGATGGTAGTGTGGTGGTGAAGCACTGGTCAACGGTGGTCCGACAACCAGTGGCGGGCGGCACTCCGACTTCGGTGTATGATGTAGCTGGGCCGGCCCATAAATGTGAAAAAATGAGATTGGTCGTGTGCAAAATTCATGCATTGGGCTATATTTTGTTTTTTGTAGAGTACTTGTACTTTCAAATTAGTGCTAAATTTAATTTTAATAACCACATTTATAATAATCTTAATATTGAAATATAAATTTATATTTAATTTGAAAATATCTAGTAATTAGAATATCTATATTTAATAGTATTGGGCCTGAAAAGTTTGGGGGCCTTGTCTTGTTGTACACTTTGCACACCCTCCGAGCCACCTATCTAGCAATGTACAACGTTAAAGTGCCAATATTATATATATATATATATATATATATATATATATATATATATATATATATATATATATATATATATATATATATATATATATATATATATATATATATATATATATTTTGGTTCAAGTGAGAATGCAATCTTATGAAAAAAAATAAGAATGAATCTGGTGCTTTAGATTATGAGATCTAACGGTCAAGATTGAATCCAAATTAGGTGCACCAAAATGGGTTAAAAATGCATCATGTCGAAATGCATCAAAATCCTTTGAAAATGCACTATCTCAAAATCTGAGTGCAGGATGCAATCTGAGCCGCACGATGCATCCGATCTAAAGGCTAGATTTTATTCTTATTTCTTTCACCAAGGCGCATTCTCACTTGAACCAGCCCCTATATATATATATATATATATATATATATATATATATATATATATATATATATATATATATATATATATGAATTCCTATATACTCCCTTCGTTCCCCTAAGCTATTCTCATTTTGATTTTTTTATGTTTAAAGGAAGTTGAAAAGGGTAAAAGTTTACTAAAATATTATTAATGAAAATGGTGAAGTGTAGTGACTAAAGTAAGTGTGGCTAGTTGGAGTATTTTTAATGTTAAAAGAGCTAATGAGAAGATCTATAGAGAATAAATAGAAAGAGCCAATGAGAAGATAAATGGGAAGTGGATGGTAATTTCAATGATGACGAAATTCAATACAAGCTTTTCAGTGATCAATGACTCAAGTAATTCAAAGATGAAATTTTTTAAAGAGGAAAGAAATGTATTGCCTCGAAACCCAGTCTATCCGAATTAATTAATTAAAAATGATTAATTAATTATTGAGACGAACTTGGAGTTAATTGCAAATATTTGACATTGAATTATAAAAACTATACCGTTGTGTATATATAGTAGGGTTCAACGAGACGAATCCAACAGAATAAATGGATCTGAATTCGAAACAAGTTGGCCAGAAAAGTATATTTTTTCCAAGGTATGTTATTTAATTATAGAACACGAAAGCGTATAATTATAAATACCTACCATATTCGCGTTCCACGCCCAACTGTACAATCTCTCCCTCACTCTCTTGGTTATCTTTCTTGCGATCAGAGCAGCAGCAGCTAACACGAGAGGAAGAAGAAGGGAGAAGCCCAAGTCGTTCGACTGTCGCCGCCTCTTACAGTCTTACTGTTCCAGCTTGCGTTTGTAGTTTAGTCTTCGTCGTTTCGTAATCATTATGTTGATTGAATTGCATGAAAACTTGTATGATTTGTTTATTGGGAATTTTAGGCTTTATGATCAAACCAACGGGTAGAACATAAGATTAGGTGTTATTTGATTATTTAGTTGGTTATATGCTATTTATGAATGTTATTAAGGTATTATGTACACCGGTAATTGTAAATTAAGGGTCAGAAGTCAGGATTTCTGACTGATGCAGTCGCAGCTGACATGTATCACGCCGGTTGGTATTTCACTACCGTCGGTGAGTAGCAAGCTACCGCGGGACGGTAGGTTGCTACCGCTGCCGCCTGAGGCCCTGTTGTTTCAATTTTGTCTTTGTTTTAAACGTAAAGGATGTACACCGAGACTTGTATGTTTGTATGACAGCACGTGTGGATGTTCGCAACTTACGCTAGGTCGCTAGCTATGTGTTTGATTGTGTGTGTTGATCCAATCTTGATTAAAATTGATAGAAAGTATAACGAATGGGGTATTTGTGCAAAGACTTTCTTAATTACTACATCCACTTTTGACTTATCGATCAAAATTTGTAAATTTTGATCTCAAATTAAATAAAAATGATATTAGATATTGATACCAAATAGTTTTATGATATAAAATATCTTCAAATAAAATATTATTTTATCTAATTAATATGTAATATATATTTTATTTAATTTAATTATAGGTCAAAAGTTGAAAATAATTGATTGAAAAAAGTCTAAACTGAACAAATACTTCGAGAGAAAGGTAGTATATGGAGATACAGTGCACTTTTTAAATTACATGTTGTACATTCTTATAAGTCCTTTGCTTTTACTATTTCCATCTCGAATTATTTGTCACATTTGTAGAAAAAAATGATAAATTGTGACCATTAGTTAAACAAGATAGATATTACATATTAATATAAAAATAAATTAATTAGATTTATCAAGTATATATTTCCAAAATATTGTTTTCGATGAAAAGTATACCGTACCATAGAACTTTGATTTATATATAATTCAAATGTTAATCTTAATTAATTGCAAAACGTGTAAATTGAATAAAAACTCTAATCCAAAACGGAGTATTTCGTAATTCTTTTCTAAATTAAAGCTAAGGACGAACCTCTTATTCAAAGGTAGGGGTGAGCAAGTACCAAACCGATACCGAAATTTCCCGAAAAAACCGAGAATACCAAACCGAAAAATACCGAACCGAAAAAGTACCGAGAAGAAACCGAACCATACCGAACCGAATGGTCGGTACGGTATTCGGGAACGGTACGAGGTGACGTCCCATACCGAAAATCCTGTATCGAACATATATTCTAAAATATTATATAAAATAATATCCCGGAGTAATATTTTTATACTCCTTCACTTAATAATAATTTAAAAAAAAATGGTTCAAGTTCTATGACGTGTAAATTATACTACCGCTGTCCCATTATTTTTGTCCACTTTTGACTTTTAGAACTGTTCATCTAAGCACTTTGACTCATCAAATTCTCTCAATGTGTAAACCTAAAAATAGTCATGTGTGATCTTGTTTGATTCGTCTTAACATATAGATTATTAATATATAATTTTTATAATTTTTTAATATACAAATTACAATATAAAATGGATTAAAGAAGTGCATTGGATGGTGTGCCAAAAGGTAAGTGGACAAAGACAGTAGGACGGAGGGAGTACTTTTGTTTGAGTTTCAATTTTTTTTTATGAAATAAAAGTATTCACAAAGATTCGAAATACTCCTTTGCTATCATTCTTTTTTTAGTTTGTAAAATATAAACTAAGTTTTGATACGCATCTCTTACATTTAAATTTTTTTTATTTCTCATGTTTTTTTATTTAAATTCACTTTTAATTTTCAAAAATAAAGGGGTATTGTTAAATTTTAACGTGTAAAGTATGTATGTATATTCATCTCGATTTGTACCGAAACCGATATCGAACCATCGCGAACCATACCGAACCGATATTTTGAGATCGGGATTGGTACGGAGTAAAATTCCATACCGAACCGAAATATTTGGTACGGTATCGGTACGAGCTAAATACCGTACCATACCGTACCATGCTCACTTCTATTCAAGGGGCCGCTCAAAATCCATCGAACGACCTTAAAATATATAAATGAAGTTATGATCACAATTCACAGACTGACTGACAAAAAGTAGAACCACATTTGGTAGGAATCACGAATTTGAATTTACCTCTTTGACAACGTTGCTCAATGAGCTAAGCTATGCCCACCCGTACATATTTATGTTCCAAGACAAACTTTTATGTGGATCAAACTTTCATACTCATTTTATGAATTATAGTGCATTTATAGCATAAAGAAAGTAGACCTTTTACAAAACGCTACCCCGTCCAGGATGTATGTCCAATTTGACTTTTTTGAATCAAATCAGACAAAGTTTGGGCTTCAATAACTGTCAATTTGAATTAGATATTAGTACAATAAATAAAATTTTGGAAGTTTACACCAAAATAAGTCTAATAAAATCATTTTTATACTAATATACATTACAATTTTTGTTTAATTGAAATTCAAAGTTCATTTTATTTGATTTGAAAAAATCAAATTGAACAAATATACTAGAACATAAGAAGTATAAACTATCCATATCTAAGTCTATAAAAAATATGAAAAAATATATAATTTAAGGATAAAGCTATTTGTACCCCAAGAATTTGTACCCCATTTTGTACACCGCAGGGATGCACCAACATTTTGTGTTGGTGTAATGCTAATTTTTGTTAACGCATACCTATGTCAGTATGAATCTTTGTTAACGCAACAACACTTTGTGTCAGTGTGAACCATCAAATGTTAGTGTATACATTTGGTGTACAAATAGGATACAAGTTTTGGGATACATATAGCATGCTCCATATTTTAAATGTTAAAAAGTAAACTCCCTAAATAAGAGTAAAACAAGTGTTATATCCTCAAAGTAGGAGTTCTAACATAAACTCCTATAAATAGGAGTAGTCCCCACGTGCATCATTTCCAAAGTAGATCTTGGCCTCTTCTCGATTCATTCCAACCTCTTCGTCGCCTCCCCCCTTTCTCTCATTCTTCGAGAAGTCACACGGAACCACCACCCTTGTTGCCAACTCCGTCAACTCTCCCTTGCTACGCCTCCACTGGTGTTGCCGCCTCCCCCCCCCCCCCCACTGCACCTTAAGCTAATTAATATGAATAGATTTTGTAATAGTCAACTCAATGGATCTTTCTCAGCCTGCTTCTCCCTCTCCATTTTTTGAGTTGTCAATGACTTATTCTTTAATTTTTTTTATTACTTTGAATGGGGTGAGGTTCATGAGGCATTATGGTGATGATGAGTACTCATAACTACTGAATTGAAGTAGCATGCTCTTAGATGAATTAGAAATTTGAGCACACATTGGGAAGGAGTCTACGTTTTGAAATAGATCTATGTTTTTATGAGCCATTGAGATGAGTATTTGAAAAAAAATCCAGACTACATACATATGGTTCATGGCTTGTTTGATTTTTTTTGACTTTTTTATTTCAATTTCATTGGCATACTTGCCGTTATACAATGATATTTGTTATATTATGCATTGTTATGTTTGGCATTATGACTTTGTATACATTATGCATTCGTATGTGTGACTTTTTACACGGACATGTGTGTCATTATTCATGTTCATGTATTGCATTATGTGTTGTCATATTTGACATCATACGTACCTCTGTTTGACATTATATGAATCTTTATTGTAGCATTGTGGCAGGCGATATTGACAGCGACAAAGACAGTGGGTGTGACGGCAGTTGCGACGCTGCCCAAATTGTGACAACGACAAAGGTGACGATGGCCAGGGCGGTGTTGGAACAAGTTCAGATCAGATAATAAAAGAAGGGGGCTGTGAACTAGTGCGCTAGCGACTAGGCTCCTCCGGCCAACAACGATGCTCCTCCTAAGCTCTGCTTGCTTGGACGGTGGCCGGCCTCTTGCATAGCGACTACTAAATGTGACGGTGGTTGTGAATCCAAGGAGAAGAAGAGCAGAGGCATGACAACTTTGGTTGGGACTTGCTTCTGAAAGGCGACGAGTTTCTCCTGTGTGCAGCGGCGTTGGCGAGCGTCATGAGTCGAAGAAGATGGAGGTTGATCGATCAACTCTATTAAATAGATTTATTTAATTCGGTATGCTATTGTAGATCTCAAGTGGAGTGGCACGTGAATACGTGATGATTAGTTTGGATGGAGATAATTTAGTTTATAATTCTTATTTAGGGGATTTGAGTTTCAACTTCTATTTAGGGGATTGACATCTTTTTTACTTCTATTTTGATCTTTCCTCCCAAGTTAAACTTACGAAAATGCAAGCAAAGCTCTTTTTCTAAATTCGTCCCCTTATTGGAAGTTATTCTACAGAATATCCGTCACCTGTCAGTCCCTCATTACCCATCTGAACCATAATCCGCTTTGCTTGACCCCCTGACGCGCCTTCTCTAACGGCATTCCCCACGTGACCTGCCACCGTAACGGAGTTTGGACCACATGTTCTGTTAACCCCTCCACGCCCCTAATCTTGCGGCCATCCCTGATAGATCCCGCCCGTCTCCACCGTCCGATCTCATCCATCTCCGCCCTCGAATCCCCATTTTGCCCCTGAGAACTTCTCCAATTCCCCTACTGCCCCTACCCTTCTCAGAAGCCTTGCGAGTGATCACTAACATATAAACACACAGCATGTATCTATACATGAGAGGCGGTTATTTAAATACTCGCTAATACTGTGTATGTAAGCGTATATTCCCAGAGAGAAAGATGGAAGAATACTTGGAGGGGATTTCGGCGACGATGATTGAGTTCTGCGGCAGAGAGGGAGCTTTGAAAACGGCGATGGTGGCCGTAGATGTCTCCCCGGCCTTCATCGGCTCAAATAAGCGTAAGAAGTCCGTCGGAGTGTGCAGGTTCGGTGATCCAAGCGTGAATTGCTCGGGAAATTATGTGTTTCCGGCCGACTCCGCAAGGTCCGGTCGTGTTCAGAGTGCTCGCCTCATGGCTAGAAATGTCGTTGTCAAAGATATGCGGAGATCTTCGCCGGATCTGCAACAGGTAATAATATACTGAAACCGTCTTCGAGGATTTGATTCCACAGCACATTTATTCCGTATGCAATAAATGACACAATGTTCATTCGAATTTTCGGTACACGGGCTTTAAATCGCGAGACGAGATGGAAACGATAATAATGATGGCGATCCATTTTCTAATTTTGAATTTGGAATTGAATTTCAGGAAGATGATTTTGTAACCGTCGACTCATCAGCTTATGGCAGTTTCAGGTATTTATCATCCCCCGGTTTCATCTCAAATTTATTTATTTATTTCTCCTCAAAGCGTCTCCTCAAAACATCTGTTCGCTTAATCGTCAGTGTATTTTTTTCATAGAGCAGCGTCGAATTTCATTCTTCAATTTGCAGTTCCCTGTTTTGTTTTTAGGGATTAAATAAATTTCGATAGAAATTCATCAGAATCGTCACAGTTTGTTTAAATTTGGCAGCGAGCTTCAGGGAGAGACGGTCGAAATCATGGAATCCAGCTCGACGGAGAAAAAGGGATCTACTGAGGCGATTCGTCGCCGCCGCCGAGGGGATCAACCGGCGGGGAGAAAGCCACCAGAGGCAGAGATTGAAGAGTTCTTCGCAGATGCAGAGAAGTACGAGCAGAAGAAATTCCTAGAGAAGTAAGTAAAAAAGATGTAGCCTTTGTAGTACATTATGCGTCGTACTAATTATGAATGTAAAAACGTTTTTTTAATTAAAATCATGGACGGCGGCGGCGGATGATGACGGTGGTGGTTGTTGTGGGTGTGGGCGCAGGTACAACTATGACGTGGTGAAGGACGCGCCTTTGGAAGGACGCTACCAGTGGGTTCGGCTCAATAGCCCTTAGCCGAGCCGGTGACAGACCGGCCTATTGAAACTTATCCCGTAATTATATTATCCATTAAATTCCCACCTTTTGTACAACACTCCCCTTTCATTTACACTTCCCGTTCCACGAATTATATACGGAGTATAAATTCTCCCCTGTTTTTGTTAATACACATTATATGCCTTGGAAGTTTATATTTATCTATATATTGAATCCATCCCTATTTCGAGTTTTGGACATTGTCCGATTATGTAACTAGCGGCAGATTCTTACTGGTGTCCTGTGAGGGCGTATCTGACCGGTTCCGATTCACTATCGGTTCTAATTCTATTTTTTTTTTTTTAATTTTTCAGGAAAAGTGATACGCAGTAAAATCATTGATTTACACTCGGTCTCATAATGAATTACACGTCTAACTTGCAAAATTTCATTTCTTTAAATATATTTTTATTTATTAGTTGTTATAGAAATAGAGAGCACAACTTACCTATCAAAATTTTTACCGAATAAAGTTTGATAAATATATTTTATATTGAGTAAATTCCATAAAAAGTCCCCATTTATAGGTTGTTTTACATATTTAGTCCTTACATATCAAATATTACTAATTTAGTCCCCAATTATTATATTTATTTCCACGAATGGTCTTTTGTTAACATTTCCGTTAAGAGCGTAGATAAAACTATTCACATTCTTTCTTCTTCTCAATTAAGCTTCTTCACCTCCCCCCTCGCACTTCTTTCCCAAACCCATCGCTGAGTTAGAAGCTTTGAACCCAAAGCCGAAATTATCACTCTTCTCTCGATTGAGAGAGGAAATATCATTTCAGTTTTGGGTTTAGGGCTTTAAACTCAGTGACAAGTTTGAGAAAGAGTACGAGATGAGGGAGGATACTTAATTCAGGAGAGAAGTATGAATATACAATTTTATCCATGTTCTTAACAAAACGTTAACAAAGGATCATTTGTGAAAAATGATATAATAATTAGGTACTAAATTAGTAATATTTGATATGTAAGGACTAAATATATAAAAAGACCTATAATTGGAGACCTTTTATCGAATTTACTCTTTATTTTATAAGATCAATGGAAATAATAAATAAAAATTATTGATTACTCCAATCAAATTAATTTATTTTTATCTTTTTCAAATGTTTATTTTATAATTTTAAAAGCTAAAAAATCTAATATTTCACATTTCTCTATTTTCTCTCTTTATACGAACTATTTATGGAATAACAATAATATTTTTTTGAGATATAAATTGGATATAATCAAGGAAGGATTTGTACAAAATTACTCGTATTTTCTAAATATAAGTCAAATTTGTCTTTTATGATCAACCAAACATGTCTTAGTCCAATTCGGTTTTCTACTTAAAATTAAACATGAGTCTAGGACTATTGTTCTTAGATCAATCTATCTTTCACTTAATTTGAAAGAATATAACGATCGAGGCTTACGTAACATAATTCAACTAAGAGCTGTGGTAATACCCGCAACGCCCCACGGCGTGAGGGGGCGTTTAACGCCCCGACGGCGTTAAACACCGCCCCCATCTGGGCGTGATCAGGCGTGATCGCCACTGCGTCAAAGGAATGACGCGGCGTCATTCCACTCCCCTCCCCCTCCCAACGGTTTTATAGCCGTTTGCACCCATTTAAAAAAAAAAATTATTTTTTTTTCTTATAAATTCAAACCCCCCCTCTCAATCTCTCACACTTTCTCATCTCAATCTCTTCTTCTTCCCATTTTAAAATTCGAAATAACTCTCTTTCTATTCAACATGAATCCTTCCGGCTCCGGCTTCGTTCCCGACAATCTCCCCCCGAGTGACGCCGCGATGTGGTTCTACCAAGAGTGGGGCGATCGACCGCCGATATACGAGACGCAACAATCGGGGTACGTCGACCGAGATTCGGTTCCCGAGACTCAACCGGAACCGTCCGGATCGAAAAAAAGTACACGCCGGAGGAGCCACAAAGCCAAAAGCACGTTGACCGATGCGGCACGGTCAATCCAAAAGTGGACGCCGGAGGAGGAGTGCATATTGGCGTCGGCTTGGGTTGACGTCTCCGAGCATCCTATCATTGGTAAAAAATTTATTTTTTCTAATATATTTATATTTTTATTTATATATATTATATTTAATGGTGTCAAAAAAATTTGTGTAATACTTTTTTAAAGGTACGGAGCAAACGAAGGATGCGATGTGGGATCGTATCGAGGAGAAGTTCTTCACGGCGATGAAGAAGGACGGCTCCTACCGAACCCGTGACCAACTCACTTCCAAATGGAGCCACATCAACAAAAAAGTACGAAAGTTTATGGGAGTATACGAGGAATGCTCCCGGTCCCGGAGGAGCGGCA